TTGTTCAGTCAAACATTTTATGGCTTACTATTTAGCTATCTTACCATGACCGATGTAACATCGCAACCAAAGAAAAAATGTCAAATTAACCAAATCATTTCTGTACCATGAATGCTCCTATCTCCGACACTTCACACAAAAAAATAACCCTTGCACGCCTTGCGTGCCTATGTTTAAAACTTATGAAGCGCTACTGACGTTTTCGCTCAAAAGAAGTTCTCAAATGACTTTTATTTCGAAATTTGTTATAGATATGATTACAGACAAACCTGTATATAACGGCTCTGTATATAGCGGTCACCCTGTGTATAACGGTCACTGAACAACTTCCCCAAAACCGTCCCATATATTTACTGTTAAGTTGACCTGCATATAGCGGTCACCTATATATAACGGACCCAGTCACCCTTTATACTTCCTGAATCCACAATTTCATTATCTTTTACCTGTATATAACGGTCACGAAATTGGGGTACAATTAACGAATAATGACAAGCTTTATTCATCAGCTCGTTAAATAGCAGCCTCCAAGGCAGGGGTCTCACAAAAATACAAATATTAGTACTAAACACAACTACTAATACAAGTGTCGTCGCTTTCAAACAATAGTTACTGTAACTGTAACAGCACAACCGTACCACACTGGCCTTCGTCATAATTCCCTGACTATAACACTGTTCTGTACTTACCAAGTTGACCGCCGCGGTTTTACACTTTGTTAGACCAAGACAGCGCTCGGCATCAAATTTCTCTTCTATCAGCTTCCGATGCAGCCACTCACAGGAGACTTAAAGCATACCACGGACATTTTATGGGCATTTTCTTATCGTGTTTCATTTTGCGTTGCTGTTACTCGTTATTGTAAATAAAAGGTAAATTGAGTGATTATTTGCACATAAAAATGCTATTTGTTGACCTTCCAAGGGAGTTTAAAGGAAACCTGTGTACAGTGGTCACCCTGTATATAACGGTCACCTTGGCCATTTCCCAATGGTGACCGTTATATGCAGGTTTGACTGTAATTAATAATTGGACCTCGTGTCGTACAATTCAGGGAATAATCGTGCTCGTAATTTTAAATCGGCTTTGGGCTTCATGTTCGTCCGATTTTGAAATTACTCGAGCTGTTACTCCCTGAATTGTACTCCACTCGAACCAATTACTATTGCTAATCATGTCGAGATCAAAATTCTTGATTATGATTGGTTCTTGGACCATTACATGCCCACCTTATTTGATATTGGTTATTTATTGATTAAAAAATTACTTTTTTTAAAAAAAAAAAAAACATCTATACGTACCTGAATTTGATGTCTGATAGCATTGAATACGCCTTGCTTTCCTAAAAGAAACAAGCTGCCAGCAAATGAAGCAATGCAAGCGGTTGCTTCTAGGACTGCAAGCCTGATTTTTGCAATTCTTTTTTTCAGTTGAACCTCCAGGACAACGGAAAGCAGACGAGACTCTGTGGAAGAGCTGTAGAAGAGGAGATCAGTTCCGGGGGAGGACTTCCATAAAAAAAAGGACGGGGGTGCTCGTCGTTCCTTTCAGGGGTTAAAAAAATCTGTTTTGGTACCCCGCCTAGGGTGTTCAGCCTCCAAAGGTACATAGCGGAAGCTTTCGCAGTACCTTTTAGGGTACTGAGCCGAAACAAATATGTCTGGAGATATTTGACATTCGTCTTTATCGCAATGAAAGTGTCAATGAAGGTTATTCCTCAGTATTGTTTTGCGCATCCCTACTGCGCGCATGCACATACACAACGTAAGAGATTTCCCTCAGGCTAAGATCGACAGCGAAAAAAACAAATTATCCTCTTTAAGTTAAAAAATTGAGAAAAAATTGTTCGGAAGGAAAAAAAAAACGATATAGCTAAAAGAGTGCACAAAACCGTTACTCGAAGATGTGAGTTATGACCTTGGAAACAACGGTTCGAAGAACATTTTGAGTTTATGTCGATTAGAATTGTGTGATTTTTCCGTAAATTATGTTACATTTAACAAATTGACGTCAGCTTTTCATGCACCCGTCCTGTTATTGATTATGAATTTCGTCATAACATTTTCAAAGTAGCTGTGGATCCACGAGCCGATAGCCGAGCGGATCCGCAGATTACTTTGACAATAAATCCAGGCATAATAGTCACCGACAAATGACTCTAATAGAGAGAAAATGTTTCATTTTTATTTCTCATGTGTGCAAATGAGAGCAAATGTTCAAAGTGAAGCCAACACATTCGTCTCTGTCGTAATTAGCTGAAGACATTACTTAGGAAGCTCGTCAAATGAATATTTTTCTAGAAAGTGATAATCTTTCATCATCTTTGTTACGCGCTCTATTTGTTCATTGGTCCAAAGTACCTTGTCCCTCGTCACCGAAGGAGCTCTCAAAACCTCTCGACATTTTTCCACGTAATTTTTAGGGCAGGACACTCCCAAGTGATCACATAATTTCCGCAGGGTTTCTTTGGGTCTTAGCAGCATTTCGTGCGCTGGAATATCAATGACTGCATCTTTGCAGTGTAACTTGACGAATTGCGCAGCATCTGCTAACTCAAAGTAGCGCTCAATGGCCCGGTCCAGTTCTTCCTTGTTTTCTATCTGTTGGCCAAAAGAAAACGGGCAAGCAAATACATTAATAAAACAAAATACTTAATAACTTTATGTATATGACTGGTCCCTCGGGAAACAGAAAAGGCGTACGGGCACCTTCGGACCTAGGGAAGCGGTGACCTTCTTGCCCGAAAAATTTTCGCAATGCCCGAATGCGTGAGTGTTGAAATAGGGATGCAAACGCACTCAAATTGCATGAAAAACAAAAACGTTCACAATTCCCACATCTAATGAAACTGCTATAATTCCAAAAATAGTTATATTCAAAGCTTGCACACTCAATCAATCGAAATGACCATACTCTATCAACAGTCTCAATCCGAGTACATTCTAAAACTTTTTACATGTAAAGTAAAAGTTCTAAAACAGGTAACTAACTAGAAACTTTATTTACGAGTTTTGGAAATCACGCCAACAGCATTACTTTGAAATGTTTTCTCTCAAGGGTCATTGCCCGAATCATGAGCGTTTTGCCCGAAAAATAACATAATATTCGTAGCTGGAGGGGGGAGGTGGGGCTGCAGCCCCCTCCCCCCAGCTCGTACGCCTATGCCTGGACCCTACCATTCCGTCACGCAACACATGTACATCAAACAGGCAGTCTTTTCAATTTAGCTACGTACCGCACGGTCCAAAGCACAATAGTTAGACAGTGTCCAAGTTATTTCTTATATTTTTAATGCCTATCATCTTTATAGCATGGGTGAGCTCTGTTACCTTGGCAACATTTCTGTTCCTCGGTCCTGCCATTGGTGTGTTCGTCAACCGATTTGGATGCCGTCTGGCCACCTTCACTGGTTGCTTAACTTGTTCTGTTGCTCTAGCGCTCGGCTCTGTGGCTCCAAACATCATAGTTCTTTACTTGGCCTTTAGTATACTCTTCGGTGTTGGTAATACGTTCGTTTACATTTCTGCGCCGATGATTATAACCCAATATTTCAGCAAGAGAAGATCCGTCGCTCTTGGGTTCGTGACAGCCGGCCAGGGCCTGGGAACAATGATATGTGGCCCTGTTTTACAGGTGTTGGTAGGTGTGTTCGACTGGAGGAAAACGTTTCTTATATTCTCGGGTGTTTTAGGTCTTTCATCGTTGACAGGATGCCTTATAAACCATGGTAATCAAGAACCGACTACCACGTCGAATCAAGGCAAGAAGAACCACGGGAAATTCAGTTGTGATTTCTCTATATGGAAGAACCCGATATTTCTAGTGTTATTGGCCGTGGGTGGACTCAGTAACTTCTCACGTATGGTTCCTTATGTACATCTGGTGAGTGCCCCTTAACATTTTCACCCCAGGCCCATTCAAGCCCATATATTCAGTGGCGCACGCAGCCGGAACTTATCCCAGTTTCTGTGGTGTGAAGCGACCAGAAGTATTTCTACTCCTCCCCTCCCTAGATGGAATGCTAGTCCATCGTAAGGTTACCGCCAGCATTACGTTCTCACCCAAGAACACAACACAATAATGTCCCTGGCTATGACTCAAACCCAGATCGCTCGATCCGGAATCGTGCGTACTAATCATGAGGCCACCTCGCCTCCGCAATGTAACTTTTGATGATTTCGTGATATAAAATTCTCTTTCACTGCTTATATTTTATTTGATGTCACTGCAAAGTTCTATGAATGAAAAAAGAGAAAGATCACGCTCACATGGATCACGGAGCCCACATGGCTAGGCTAAATCAAACAGTTCCTAGGAAAAGGAGGTTGCAGATTTCTTTTCCTTGGGAAGGCTCGGTCGTCTCAGTTCTTGGTTATGGGTTCTGTTATCAAGATTACCTGGTTTGTGGACGGGAAGAGGAGGGGGGGGGGGGGGGG